AGGCACTGGAATGTGGGAACACCAGACCTTGAGCAGAGACCTACTTCCCCTTCTGCCTGGGAGTAGGCAGCTGTAAGACGATGTTTACTAAAAACATGTTTACGAAAAAGGATACAATGCCCGGGGCAATAAGTTCCTGGAAAAAGGCCTTCCCACGGAAACCGCCCTGACCTCGACCTTGTCCAAAGACTAACCGCACCTTCAAACCCACACACATCCACCTCTGGTGTCAGAGCAGAACCAGCCAGGGGAGAGGAGAGAGCAGAAGCTTCTCTGGTGGGAGCCTTTCTTAGGAAGTTTTCTTGAACATTTTTGGAGCCTGTTTAAAGTTTTCTTTATATCGTTGAAGGAGTCTCTGTGTTGTCTATCCCCGACACCCTCCGCATGTTCTCGGACACAGGCCGAGAAGCAGACGTGACACTGGAACACAGGCGTAGATGCAGGGCCTGTTTTACCTGGTCCCACCGGAACAGCTGGTCCCCTGGTCCCCTTGTTGGGAAATAAGACCTAGGATCTGGAGTGTTTGGCTCCCGCCGGGATGAGAAGCTCTGTGGCCTTCCCAGTCACTGGAAGGCACGCCATAATGTGGGGGTCTTCTTTACCTGGATCTTGCTTCTTGTACTTTTGTAGGCATGTCCTAGTTTTCTTCTATGAATTTATTGAATAAGTTTTCCATGCCTGTGAGCTGGGCTTCTTCACCTTCTTCTATACATATTACTCTTACGTTTGGTCCTTTCACAGTGTCCTAAATTTTCTGTATATTTTATGTTAAGAATTTATTGGATTTAAGATTTTCTTTGGTCAATGAATCTATTTCCTCTAGTTTATCTTCCTGAAACTTTCTCTTCTATCTCTTGTATTCTGTTAATTATGCTTACATCTGTAGTTCCTGGTTGTTTACCCAGCTTTTCTATTTCCAGCAATCTCTCAGTTTGTTTTTACTTTATTATTTCTATTTTAGTTTTCAGGTATTGACCTGTTTAAATTGTTTCCTTTATCTGTTTGATTGTTTTTTGTTGACTTTTCTTGCTTTCTACAAAAGATTTGTTGATTTCTTATATTTTTCATTTGATGTTTCTTCCATTTCTTTAAGGGTTTTTCTCATATCATCTTTGAGGGCCTCTATCATTTTAATGAAGTTGTTTTTAAGGTCATTCTTTTTCTGCTTTATCTCTATTGGGATGTTCAAGTCTTGCTGGTGTTGAATCCCTAGACTCTGGTAGTGTCATATAAGTCTTTGTCTTGTTGGATGTGTACTTATACAGTCAACTTCCTATAACTTCTTCCAGTGGGTACTCGTGGGGTCTCTCCCTCCTCACAGTGGAATACCACTCAGCAGAAAAACAATCAATGGAATCTTGACATTTACAGGCAAATGGATGGAACTAGATGCAATCATCCTAAGTGAGGTAACTCAGTAACAGAAAGAGAAACATGGTATGTACTAACTTATATATGGATGTTGACTTAGAGCAAAGGATTACTACCCTACAATCCACACTTCCAGATAAATAAGGAAACAAGGAGGATGGTAAATGAGAGATACATGGTCTCCCAGTGAAGGGAAAAGACAAAAGCCCCTGAAAAAAGGGTAGTATTAGATGAGGGGGAGGGAGGCAGGAGAGAGATGGGAGAAGAGGAATGGGGAGGAGAACAGGAGGTATCAGGAAGATTGAGTGCGGAGAGGAATAGTGGAGAACAAGAAAACAGACACATCAATAGAGGGAGCCACTATATGTTTAAAGCAAAATCTGGCACTACGGAAATTAATTATACAGAGATACACAAGAATGACCCCGACTAGGAACCTAAGCAATAGTGGAGATGCTACCTTAAATGCCCTTCCCCTATAATAAGAATGATGATTACCTTAAATGCCATCATAGAGCCTTCATGCAGTAGCTGATGGAAAGCTGATAGAAGCAGAAGCAGAGATCCACAACCAAGCACTGAGCAAACTTCTGGAATCCACTTTCAGAGAAGGAGGAGTGACCAACTAATGCGTCAAGATCATGGTGGGGAAACCCACAGAAACAGCTGACCTGAGCAAGTGGGAACTCATGGACGCCAGTCTGACAGCTACGGAACCAACATAGGACCAAACCAGGCCTTCTGAATGTGCATGTAAACTAGGAGCACTGGACAGTCTATGGGGCCTCTGACAGTGGAACCAGGACATATCCCTAGTTGCACGAATGGACTTCAGGGGCACATTTCCCATGGTGGGATACTCTCTTAGTCTAGATACAAAGGGGGAGGGCATAGGACTTGCCTCAATTGACGTGACAGATTTTGATGATCCCTCATGGAAGGCCTCATCCTCTCTGGAGAGTGGATGGGGAATGGGATGGGGCGATTAGTGGAGGACATGTGAGGATGGGAGGGAGCAGGAACTGTAATTGATATGTAAAATAAATTGTTTCTAATTTAAATAAAATTTATAAAAAATAAAATGGTTACATCAACTTGCTTCTCAAGCCTGTTTTTGAAATATATTTTCTCATCCTCTGCTCTGAGATGATGTGCATCCTAGTTAAACTGTGTTTTTTGGAGGCAGCAGGACAGATGTTATTTGCATCCATTCTGCTTTGTTTGGTTTTTATTATTGAGACCAGCGATGGTGATAGATATCATTAAGCAATGTTGTTGGTTCAGTTTATTTTGTTGTTGCTGCATTTGTTGTTGTTGTGTGTGTGTGTGTGTGTGTGTAATTCCCTTATTTTTATTTTCTATCCTGGAAATATTTATTTACCATGCTTTTTGTGTGTGGCTAACCTCTTTAATTCGAAGTTTTCTTTTCATTGTCTTCTGCAGTTAGTCTATCCCTTTCTCTGGTCACCTTACAGGTACTTTTACTATACCCATGTCATTTGGTTCGGTGACTTAAATTTTAATCAGAATATGCTGTTTGCCATGGGTTTGAACTTAGCCATTTACCATGTTGTGCTTGAAGTTTGATATACAACTAAGGTAAATGATTGTTTTTTTCCCTTAGAGCAGTGAGTTGTCAATAATTCTACAGGAAATGCTAGGGTCATATAACCCCTTCTACTATCTATAATTGACTATTGATAGATTCAGTCTTGTGCAAACCTAGTCAGATAGCCACATAGGCTGTGAGTAATCTTGTATTTAGTATGTCCTGTGTCATGCCTTGAAAATAACATTATTAATATCTTCTCCCCACAGTTTGGTTCTTACACTTTTTTATTTGTTTTCGGCAATATTTCCTGAGCCTTAGAGTACATGGATTAAATATACTGTTTAGATCTGAACCCTTAATTATCACTTATTCTAAGCATCATTAACATCCATTAACCACTGTTGATGACAAAGAGAAGCTTCTCTGATTAAGGATGAGAGGAACGTTTGTCTATAATTGTAAACATAAAATTTAAAACTACAATTTGATGCCATGTCAATTTAGATAAACAAAAGTGTGAGGTTTTCCTTCTCATCTACGAAATCCCTAGCTATGGGTTTTGATCAGGTTTACCATATCAGACATGAATTCCCAACTATTGAGGGGGAATCAAACCCTCCATAGGAGGATTAGAACACAATTGCACTATTAGTCAGCCATATATCTTGACTGGCAGGTTTACACTATAGTCTGTAGAGTTTCTTTCTGTGTAACACATTGTTGTCTTTAGTCCCTCTGAAGCCTATATAGCACTTTAGAACTGTGAAATCTAGCCAGGAGGTATATTTGGAGAAGAGGCATAGCTTGAGACTTGCAGTTAGTCTATCCCTATCCCTGGTCACCTTACAGGTCCTTTTACTACTGAGCCCCAGCTTAACTTATGTAACCTAGTGAAAATACAGTTTTATTTTTTAATTCTGGTTGGCAATCAAGAGAAATGAAAATATTCTACTTTGGTTAGGAAGCATCTGGGACTACCCTGACCAACAACACATGAGGAGGTACACAGGTACACAGGCCTGGCAGGTATTTTTTCATTTAATTCAGGAGGTTTTTATTTTGCTTTGTTTTGTTTTTCCTGCTTTAGTATCATTGTAATGGTTTTTTATCTTCCATTGGTTAACTTTGGTAATTGATATGCAGCTAGAAATATATTCATTTTATTTGTGATTTACAATTTATTGGAGAAAGTTTTTGAAGTATAACTTTATGATCTTCTGGATTTCACTGGCATATATTGTAGAGTCTCTATGTATTCATTATGATCAATTTTTGACATTCCTATATTTCTAAGTGACTATTAATATTGTTCCTTTTTCTCAAGAACCAACTCTTCATTACATTTATTTTACTTTTGTTTGTTTCTATTTCATTGATTCCTTTCATGACCTTACTTATTTGCTTTGGTTCACTAATTTGTAGTTTGGTTTCTTCTTGTTTTACTAAGGCTTCAGTGAATAATTCAGTTACGTACTGATTATATTTGTGATTTGTAATGTCAATTATTTGAGCTGTAAATGTAAACTTTGTTCTGAGTACATTGTATCCCATTGGCTTTCATAGGTTTTGCTTTCATTTTCATTCGTCTCCCTGTTGGTAAAGAACTGTCACAAATGGAAGCATACTTATACTTTAAGCAGGGACAAGTTTCCCAACATAAATGGATTCAATAAAAATTGGACGTGGAATGTTTGTGAGTATTTTATCTGTCTAGACCAGTGCTTGAGGTGCAGGTGAAGTGTATGATGGAAACAAAGTTATAAGGGTCTCTTACCAATCAGTGCTATATGCTGCCTTGAGGCAGGTGTGTGTCTATTTTTTATGTATGGCAGGCAATTGAAGGATCTAGAAAGCTTATAGTTATTTTATTGGCTTGTCTAGGATAAGGTATATATATTCTTTATTATTATTATCAAGTTATATGTCAATATTAAATCAATTCATACATAACATTTTTGTGCACTTCAACGGGATAAGAGTAATTGGTTTAGTTTCAGCATAAGAAAATTTTGTATGTATTGATGAAACAACAAATATTTCTAAAACCAGTAAAATGACTGCCATTGGGGCTCGGCAGGGGACGATGGCAGATGACAAGGATTCTCTGCCCAAGCTTAAGGACCTCACATTCCTCAAGAACCAGCTGGAGCGCCTACAGCAGCGTGTGGAAGATGAAGTCAGCAGTGGCGTAGGTCAGGACAGCTCAGTCTTCTCTTCCCCGTTCATCAAGGGGTTCCTGGCAGGGTATGTGGTGGCCAAGCTGAGTGCATCGGCAGTGTTGGGCTTCGCGGTGGGCACATGCACTGGCATCTATGCAACTCAGGCATATGCTGTACCCAACGTGGAGAACACACTGAAGAACTACTTTAGGTCGCTGCGAAAGGGGCCTGACTAGACAGTTTGGGGAGGGCAGGATGAGCGAGTCTCAGGCTCTATGTCTGGCTTCCCCTGCTACAGTGCATTTGCTGTCTCTGCCCATACTGTCTCTTTCATCCTCGCTTTTCTTCCTGCAGAGAATGGACAGGGATTTGTCAGCCTGCACCCTGCATTCCTTCCCTCCTTAGGGACTAACCTAAAACTGGCTCACGGGTGCTCCTCAAGCCCCAACTGTGGGATGTGACTCTGAGCTTATTTATTCTCTGGTGATGTACCACAGTTCTGCATTCAGTTTCCTTTGGCTATGCCCCAGTTCCTCTGTCTCTTGCTAACTACACAGGCCACCCAGGGTGCGGTGTGGGCCATGAGTGTAGAAGATGGGGGTGTGCCCGGCCGAGCCCGTCCTAGACAGGCTCACTGGACGCTGATGCTGTTCCTGTCCACTGCTGTGCATGGTGCCCATGCACTGTTCTTAGCCCTGCGCCACATGGATGGCCAACTGCCCTTCCAGCCCTCCTCCGCTGTGTTACTCACTGAGCTGACCAAGCTGCTGTTGTGTGCCTTCTTCCTCCTGCTGGGCTGGCAAACATGGCCCCGAGGCACAGCACCCTGGTGCCAGGCAGCACCTTTTACATTATCGGCCCTGGTCTATGGCGCCAACAACAACCTGGTGATCTACCTGCAGCGCCACATGGACCCCAGCACCTACTAGGTGCTCAGCAACGCCAAGATTGGTAGCACGGCGATGTTGTACTGCCTCTGCCTTGGGCGTTGCCTCTCTCCACGCCAGGGGCTGGCACTGCTGCTGCTGATGGCTGCAGAAGCCAGCTATGTGTCAAGTGGCTCTCGGGAACCTGAGGTGGACCTTGCTGGGGCCCATGCCATGCCCTTGAACGTCACTCCAATGGGACTTGTGCTCCTCGCCGTGTACTGTCTCGTCTCTGGCTTGTCATCCGTGTACACAGAGCTGATCATGAAGCGATAGTGGCTGCCCTTGGCTCTCCAGAACCTCTTCCTCTACACTTTTGGGGTGATCCTAAACCTTGGGCTGTATGCTGGCAGTGGCCCAGGCCCGGGCTTCCTGGAGGGTTTCTCTGGATGGGCAGTGCTTGTGGTGCTGACGCAGGCAGTGAGCGGACTGCTTATGTCTGCTGTCATGAAGCATGGCAGCAGCATCACGCGCCACTTCATATTGTCCTGCTCCTTGCTGGTCAATGCTGTGCTTTCAGCAGTGCTGCTGCAACTCCACCTCACAGCCGTCTTCTTCCTGGCCACACTACTCATTGGCCTGGCTGTGTGCTTGTACTATGGTAGCCCCTAAGGCCCTGGCCACCCCAACCTCACTTGTGGCTGTGCAGATTAGATGCAACCACCAGAGCCGCCTCCCATATCACCCCACACCCCACTCCAGCAGCCCTGTGACAAGTGCCTTGCAAGAAAAGCTAAGGGGGTCACATCAGCCTCTGGAAATTCAGGTGGGTGAGTGTTACCCCTAGGAGGCATAAAGAGTTAGGCTTGGCTAAGGAAACGCCTGGCTGTATCCCTATATTCCTTCACACTAAAAACTGAGAGCCCCAAACCCAGGCTTAGGCAGCCTCTCCTTGAGGAACCCTGCCTTGTCCTGCAAGTACATGGCCACTTCAAGTGAGGTTTTGCTCTTGCCTGCAGTGGTCACTCCTAAAGGCCCCTTGCCCTGAAGCTTCATGCTGTTCCTCTCATCCAGCCGCTTTAGGTCAGAGGGGGCTGGGGCTTGACTCATCTCAGGGAACACTGACTGCCCCTGGATCCTGCCTTACGCCTACACTCCTGACCCCTGTGCTAACTCAAGGGCCCTGTTGTAGCCCAGTTCACCTCTAAGGCACTTAGGAGGTGCTGTTTTTCCCACACTTATCCTCTCTTAGTGGTGTCCCAGCTCCCAGCAGCCTGAGAAGGCTCTGCAGAGGAACCAGGGACCAGGTACAGAATACATTTATAGATAATCAGTGTCTAACTACTTAAGCAATAAAGTGTTCAGGGTGTAGGGTGCTTCCAACAACCATTCAAAAAAAATGACTGTCATTTTGTTTAAAACTATTATGTAGTGCCTCTATGACTATTTTGTGGAATTCAAATGTTAACAACTATTTTGTTAAGACAGATATTGTCTTATGGCTACTGTTGCTGCAATGAAACACCATGATGAAAAAAAGTTGGGGGTTAATTTGCTTATACTTCCACAGCACAGTTCATCATAAAAGAAAGTTGGATAAGAACTCAAAAGGAGAAGGAACCTGAGGGTAGGACATTCTGTAGGGTCCCCCAAGGGGAGTTTCTTACTGGATTGCTTCTCATGAATTTCTTAGCTTGCATTCTTATAATGCCCAGGACCACGAGCCCAGAGATGAGCTGGGCCCATCCACATCATTCTCCAATTAAGAAAATGACCCACAGCTAGATATTATGGAATTATTTTATTAATTGAGGTTCCCTCTTTTAAGGTAACTCCAGCTTCTATAAAGTTGACATAAAGTTAGTCAGCTCACACATTACTATTTTCTACAAGACAATATTTGCAATAATATGCCATTATTATAAAATCCATGTCAGTGATTTCAATTTATAAAATGTTTGAAATGATTCTGTACGTGTTTATTTGGATCAATTTCATACAGTTACTAAGTTTATTGCCAATCTTTATAGCATAAGGTGTTCAGAGAAAAAATAGATGATTATAACAATCTTCAGGATCCCAGTTTGATAAAATTCACAATTTTCAGCAACCTTCACTATCATATGCCTCATAAATTTAGTTTATCCAAACTGAAATTTTGGAAAATACAAAAACATGTAAATTTAATTGACTGTGGTGGTGGATCACAGGTCAATCCTGGCACTCAAGAGAAACAGGCAGACACAGAATTTCTGGGTCAGCCTGCAGTATGGTGAGAGACTATCTAAAATAAATAAACATAAATAAAGCTGAATTCCATTCTACTCACTGTAGTAAAGCATCCTTTTGTTATGGATAAGTGAGGATAAATTACATTCATCAAACTTTAGATACCATATTGATACAATGAGTCAGTATTCACAGATCTAGGTGGTTAGTTTTCCAATTTTTCCAACCTGTGTCTTAAATTAAGTCTATGGGACCTGTTATAAACAAGACAAAAGTGCATCCTTTTAAAGGAACTGCTAATGTCCTGATTCCTTAGACTGTAGATGAAAGGATTTAGCATGCGTGTGACCACAGTGTACATTAATGATACCACCACATTAACCACCACATTATTTCCATAAGAGTAAGGCAAAACTTAGCCAAAATACTCTCCAAGACCTGTTCCATAAAATAAGCACACCACTGTTAGGTGAGATCCACAGATGGAGAAGGCTTTACATCTCCCACCTGAAGAGGTGATTCTCAGAATAGAAGAGATGATTTTAAAGTATGAGACAAGAATCCCTGGTAAGGGAAAAGCACCAAGTATGACACCAGTAACAACTATGAGTATGCTATTATTAAATGTGGTGCTGCAGGCTAAATTTAGAAGTTGAGAAGGGTGACAGAAGAAATTAGCAATTTTCACATCTTTGAAGCCTTTAAATTGTAAGGCAATACAATTGTGAAGCAGAGATTCAAAAAGACTAGCTAAAAATGATACTAAAACTAAGATTCCACAGCGACAAGGGTTCAAAATTACTGTGTAATATAAGGGATGACAAGTGACCACAAACCTGTCATATGCCATCACATACATGCAAAAATGACAAAAAAGATATCTGAGTCAGACAACCCATATAGGATACAGCTGGACTGTGGATTTGAAGGTCTGCAACCATGTTGGGGACTGTTGTAGAAATGAAGCCAATGTCAGTCAAGGACAGAATAGAAAGGAAGAAGTACATGAGAGTGTGGAGGTGGGAGTCAGACCTGACGGTCAGGATGATGAGCAGGTTTCCAAGGACTGATATCAGATACATGGACAGGAACTACCCACAGAGAAAGGGTTGCAGATCTGGGTCATCAGACACTCTCAGAAGATAGAATTCTGAGACATGTGTTATGTTTTTTATTTTCATTTTCATCATCACCCTTCTAAAAAGGAAAGGAATGGTTGTAAAAAATAATTCAAATATAAATTCACTTTGAATTCCAAACAATGACAATGCAAATACTCTCGTTTAAGGTATTTCATGTTCTTACAGAAGTACTTTTGGATCCCACAAAGGCAATATTTGATGTCTTTCATTATTGCTTTGTGTGTTATTCACTTCCTTATGTACACAAATAATTTATCTACATTCATATGAGCCAGATTATGAAACTATAACAATTAAAGAGGCCTATAGCTATAACAAAATACAACACACTCTATCTAGACAAGTAGAAGTAATACTATATCCTTCTAATGAAAAGTATTATTCAAATTAAGGAAACTAAGAAGTGTGCTACACAACCCTACTTTACTCTACTAATGTGGTATCATATACTCTACCATAGAATACATATAAATATTGTTAAAGAGCTAGAAGTATTGTATGAACAGTAAATTGGTTGACAGTCATATCAGAGTATGCTTGTAAAACCAATATCTGGAAGACTGAGAGAAAAGAAATCAAGAAAAATCACTGTTTTAGAAAAGGAGGAGAGCATGTTGGGAGAGGAGATGGGCAGAGAATATATTAAGAAGTGAACATGGTAAAAGTTCCTGCTTAAAAACATAATTATTAAACCTAAGGTTGTGTGCAACAAAGAGACAATAATAAGATTTTAAATTAATATCCTTTTGTCGCAAGTAGCTGTCCCTCTGGCATCATCAGGTAAACAGGCCGGCTTCCCGGCCTGTGTTCCAGAGCCTGCAGATCGCCTGAGAACTGCACAGAGCTCCCAATCCCGACGGGAGCATCAGGTAAACAGGCCAGCTTCCAGGCCTGTGTTCCAGAGCCTGCAGATCACCTGGGAACTGCACAGAGCTCCCAATCCCGGCGGGAGCATCAGGTAAACAGGCCAGCTTCCCGGCCTGTGTTCCAGAGCCTGCA